CCCACGTCAGGCTCTGTGCTGACAGCTCAGAGCCTGGAGCCTGTTTTGGATTCTGTGTCTCCCTCTCTCTGCCCCTACCCCTACTGAGCACTCTGTCTCTCTCTCTCAAAAATAAATAATAAAACATTTTTTTTAATTAAAGAAAACCTAAATAAATGGAAAGACAGTCCATGTTCATGGATAGAAAGACTTAATATAGTTGATGGCAATACTTCCCAAAACAATCCACAGATTCGACACAAACTCCATCAAAATTCCACTTGGCTTTTTTGCAGAAATTGACAAGCTTATTGTAAAATTCATGTGGAAATTCAGTGGAATCACTAATAAAAGCCAAAGCAATCTTTAAAAAGAGCAAAACTGAAAGATTCACATGTTACAACTCACTACAAAGCTACACTGATGAAGACAGTGTGGCATAAAGTCAGACATAGATCAATGGAACAGAATGGAGAATCAAGAAATAAACCTTCACATTTCTAGTTAACTGATTTTCATCAAGGATGCTAAGACAATTCAATGAGGTAAGAATGGTCTTTTCAATACATGGTGCTGGGAAAACTAAACAGCCACATGCCAAAGAATGAAGTTGGAGACACACTTTACACCATACATAACTAACTCAAGATGGATCAAAGACCTAAATGTAAGAACTAAAAACGATAAAACTCTTAGAAGAGGGGCACCTGGGTGGCTCAGTCGGTTGAGCATCCGACCCTTGATTTTGGCTCAGGTCATGATCCCAGGGTCATGGGATCAAGCCCCGCGTCAGGCTCCACACTGCTTAAGATTCTCCCTCTCCCTCTCCCTCTGCCCCTCTCCCCCACTCATTCTCATTCTCTCTCTTTAAAAATTTTTTAAAGACTCTTAGAAGAAAAGATAGGTATCTATCTTCGTGACTTTGGATTTGGCAATGCATTGTTAGCTATAACGCCAAAAGAACAAGCAACAAAAGAAGAACATACATAAATCGGACTTCATCAAAACTAGAAAGTTTTGTGCTCTAAAGTATAATTCCGGAAAGCGAACAGACAATCCACAGAATGGAAGAAAATATTTGTAAATCTAATATCTGACATGGCTTGTATCCAGAACATATAAAGAATTCTTACAACTCAACAATGAAAGACAACCCAACTAAAAAGTGGGCAAGAGAACTGAACAAGCCCATGAGAAGACACTCAACATCATTAGCCACCAGGGAAATGCAAATCGAAACCCACACACCAGGACGACTGGAATGAAAAAGATGAACAAATTTTGGTGAGTATGTGGAGGAACTGGAACCCTCACACACTGCTAGTGGGCATGTCGAATGGTGCAGCCACTTTGGAAAACAGGTTGGCACAACATTCTTCAAACCGTTAAATGTACTACATTTACTACGTTGACCTGTCACTACCCCTCCTAGCTATGTACCCCCAAGAGAACTGAAAACGTGTCTTCAGTTAAAAACATATACACTGACATTCATGTTATTATTTAATAGCCAAAACGTGAAAATAATTATTTCAAGAGTTTGACAAGATTCTAAGGGTAGGGGTAGGGTTCCTTTGACTGATGCGGGTGTGGATCAGGGTCACCTCTGTTCAGAAAGTTGCAGGGGGCCAGCGAGTCAGGGAAAGTGCATGGGCTTAGACCAGAGGCCTGGGTTTGAGGCCAGGCTCTGTCACTGGGTGACCTAGAGCAAGTTGTCTGACACTTCCCCTGTGAAATGGGGCTAAGATAAGTACCTAGTGCCAAGGGTGAGTGTGACAGCTACTGGCATATAAAGTACCCACCACAGTGCCAGTGCATATGAAGTCACTGACCGAGGACAGGATGTGCTCTGTCCCTTCAGTCACCATAACCAGAGATCTGCCTCGGGCCTCCTCAGTGTCCTTTCCGCTTAGCCCTAGGGGTGGCTGGGGTCTGTGCAAGGGAATCCTACTGATTCCTGTCCCAGGGGGCTGAGGAACAGTGGCTGGCATGCTGGCTTCCTGAGGCCAGAGGAAAGATACCCCTCCTACCCCTAACCCAGCCTCACCGAGGTCCCCAGCCTGTGGGGACGGAGAGGACCCTCTCTTACCTTTAGGAGCTCCTGGTCATCCAGCCCACACAGCATCAGCTCCTGGCCTAGTCTCACCATCTCTGTCAGAACACAAGGATCCTATTACCGCAGAGGCCCACCCAGGCGGGAGAGGACACCGTGCGCTCAGGGGCACACCGACACGCAGAGTGCCGAGCGCCGCTCTGGGGACAGTGCTCCTGCTCCAGCATGGGTGGGCCGGTGTCCAAGAGGCCAGGCTGGGCCCAGAAGGCCTAGGTGGACAAGGAGGCGGGGACAGGATACCTAGGAATGCCTCTGGCTGTGTGACCCGCGTCAGTTTCCTGGGCTGAAAACAGGGCGTCACATCTGACGTTCTTCCATATAAGGAACACTGTCTGGCTTCTAGGAGAAGCAGCCAGCCTCCTGAGGAGCTGACAGAGGTCAGGGAGCCTTCCTACAGGCCTTTGTCATCATCGTCTCTTTTCACCTTGCCGGCAGCTCTAGGAGGCAGACCTCAGCTCCATGGTACAGATTGGGAAACTGAGTCACTGCCTGGTGCCCAGCCACACCTTACAGGGTGCCCTGGGCATTTTCTGAGCAACCATCTGGTACAGAGAGAAAGGCCCAGACTTGGAGCTAGAAAGCCTGGGGCCAATGCCAGCTCTGAACCCCCGAAGTAGCTCTGTGGCAGTGCCCTTACTCCTTCATGGGCAAAGCCCATCTCCTATGCCGACGTGGCTTAGTGATCCAACAGGCCTAACTCTGGCACCTGCTTTGGAAGGTTTGGTGCAAGAAACGAGCAGAGTGTTTTTGTGAAAGCGCTAGTAATCCTGGAAACAGTACAAATACCAGTCATACCCCAAGCATGCCTCCTCTACCCACAACCCTTAACCCCAAACCCTCGTGTCCTCCACAGCTCCTCTCCTGCTTAGGCCACGTCCAAGTCTCGGTGAGTCCGGCCAACCCCCCTTCACGATAAGCCCGGGATCTGGCCAACGCTCTACCTCCACTACCACCCGGTCCCCATGTCTTGCCTGAATCACCGCAACAGCCCTCCAGGGCTCTCCCGGCCTCCGCCCGGGCCTCCCGTTCTCAGCTCAGCGGCCGTAAGGCCCCTGCGACACCACAGCTGTAAGCTTAAGTCAGGCCACAGCTTTCCTGACAATAAAAACTGTCCTTCCATGGCCCACAGACCTAGCCTGATCCGGCCCTGTGGCCTCTCTCTCTGCCCTCGCCCCACCACCCTTCCCTTGCTCTTCACTCTGCAGCGGCCACCCCGGCCTCCTTGCTGCTCTTCACAGCTGCAAGGCACAAGCAAGCCTACCTCAGGCCCTTTGCACTTGCTGTCGTGTTACCCTGAACACCATTCTTCCTGAGATCTGCCAGGCTCACTTCCTCCCTTCCTGCAAGTCTGTGTTTAAAAGGGAGGCCTTGGGCACCTGGGTGGCTCGGTCGGTTAAGCGTCCAACTCTAGATTTTGGCTCGGGTCACGATCTCACGGTTTGTGAGATGGAGTCCCATCTCTGTGCTGACAGTGTAGAGCCTGCTTGGCATGCTCTCCCTCTCTTTCTCTGCCCCTCCCCTGCCCATACTCACTCTTTCTCTCTCTCAGAATAAGTAAATAAATATTTTAAAACGAAGAGAGAGAGAGGGAGGCTTTCCCCAACCATCTTATATCCACAGGAGCACCCTTCACCGCCCATGCACCACTCTGCCCTCACCTGGCTTGCTTTATGGCACTTCTCACCATGCAACACAGAACTTTGCTGCCTCCATCTATCACCTGTTTCTCCCAGCTGGCACGTAAGGGCCATGTGAGCAGCACCTAAAACGATGCCAGGTGCGTGGGAGACACTCCACAAATACCGGTCAAATGAATTCATGAATTGTCCGAATCCTCTTTGGAGGATTATACCCTTTGACAAGCACCCATGTCCACCCCGGGTGGGCGAGGCTGAGGCTGTCACCCCAGCTCTACAGAAGAGGAAACTAGGCTGGGGATGGCGAGGTCGAGGCTTTGGCTGGACTAAGGGCACGGTTAGTACCTGTGGGTGGGTGGGTGTGAAAGAATTCAGATGCAGGCTGATGGCCAGGCTCACCTGGCCTTGACGTGGTCCCATCGGTAGGAAAGTGCTGGCCATAACACACCGGGAAAAGGGCAGCACCGCTGTGCAGCCCAGGCCGGTCCTTCACGCTCCAAGACATGACACCCTGTTCTTCTGGGCCATTTCAGCCTCGGGGACAACTGTCCCTGGATAACTAATCTGGCAGTGACAGCCAGGGCCTGCACTGGGGCTCCAGGGTCCAGGTCACCCGCCCTGGAGTAGATGGGCCAAACACAGGCCCACGAAAATCTGACCTTCGGAGACACCATTGTGAGGACTGTCCCCTATCCCCTTTTGCCTAACGTTCATCACCAGATTAAGAACCGTTTCTGCCAACAAAAGATCGAAAAGAAGCAGTTACAAGACAAGCCCTATGGAGAGCTATCAAGCGTGCACACGGCAGAAAGATGGGGACGGAACCACCAGTGGCATCAGCAAGAACCAGTCCCCGCCTCCGGTGCCCTGGCGGGTGGGCTGGCAGGGTGACACATTCTTGGTCTCATTCGCATGCCCCTGTGAGAGGAACTCTCCCACTGGCCTACGCACAGGGTGTGAGTGTGCCCTGATTCTAGCAGGCTCTGGCAAGATCTCCAGGGTGTGCGCTGGCCAGAAGTAAACACCAATCCAATGGGAAATTCACTCCGTCTTGCTAAGGAGGCCACGCACAAGCTCAGAATCCACCCCCCAACTCCAAAGTCCTGTAATGCAGACTCACCTTGGATCTTCACCTCGACTGGGGCCCCCTTTAGTGAGCTGAACTTGTCCTGCCAGGAGGGACAGACCCTGCAGGCAAAGAGCAAAACTGGTCAGTCCTGAGCGGGCCGCAGAGGCTCCTCGTGACCTCTCCCCGCACGTGCTCTAAAAAAGTAAATTACTTGTGCGTGAGCTAAACACCACTGAAATGTTCACTTTGATATGGACGCTTTTATGTGATGTGAATGTCAACTCCATAAGTTACCAGGGGGGGAAAAAAAACCACAAGTATTTCTGCAAGTGAACCTCAGAAATGTGGATTTGAACACTGAAATTTAAATTCTCATGATAAACAAAATGACCACCCAAGAGGAAAATCCTGATTTCCTCAGAGCTTGAAGCTCTGAAGGAACCAAGGGGCTGGCTTTTCTTTCAACCATGCTGCAGGTTCATTTGAAGGCTGTCCACCAAGGCCCTTCCTGCCCAGGCATCCTTGAAGCCCTGCCTGGGTGTCCCCTGGGAAGCTGGGGGAGGGCCAGGCCCACAGACATCCTGGCATCCCTCCATCACAGCAGGACCCGGGCACTGACCTTCCACTGAGCTCCCACCTCCCAGACTGCAGGCCCACTGAAGCCAGGAGCCAACTTTTCATTTTATACATCTGGGCTCTAATGCCATGGCAGCCAGCACAGAAAAGGCAGCCAGTGTGTATTAACAAATGAATAATCAGGGCCTCTTGCCATGGAATAATGTGCCATTAGTAAATGCCCATGCTTAGCTCTTTCAACGGAAGGACGTTTTCTCTTTTTTGAAAATCTTAAATCAGCAGGACATTAGGCTACTCCAGTTCACACCTTTAAACCATTTGGGGGCTCCTAGTGTGATAGGTTCTGGGATCACAGCCCCAGCCCCTGGGTTGGGAGACAGCAATCCCAGCTGTCCCCCTAGGTCCAGCAGAGCCCCAGCCCTGATGATACCAGATAGATACATGGGACGGTGGCCACTCATAAGCATCTTGCCTTAAGACACCGAGCTGATGGACAAAACCATTTCCAGAGACCACATCCAAAGGCAGGCGTCATAAGCAACACATGGCTCAGGCCCCCCAGACTGGGTCTCCTCCACAATCACGGGACAATCTGAACACTGCACCCCCAGCCCCTAGCACCAGGCCTAGCACAACACCAAGGCCGTGGGGACATCGCTCCAGCTGCTGAGACTAACACCTGCCTGCCAGGGAGCCTCAGGAGCTGGCTGCCAGGGCAGGCCCCCCCCTACAGAAAGATGAAGAGGCTCTTTCCACAGGACAGTGGGGACCGGGACTCCACTCTGCCATCATGGTGTAGTGGCCTGCCAGCCCTAGGGACCTGCTGACTTTGCAGGCTCACTTCTCCATCCTTGGGGTCACACCTCCGAATGAATGCCTGCGTCCCAGGCCACACCTGCCCTGACAATACTGGGACCCTGGGAGCTGGTGGGGCCACCCTGCACCCGAGGGCCCGGGCTCCACGCCGCAGAAGTACTGCAGAGGGGGAGCCTCAGCTATATCGCCTGTCTTCGAGACTCACTGAGGCAGCCAACTTTTCTGCCAAAAAGGGGTAGGGCAAAAGGAGTGGGAGAAGGAGCCCCCCCGCCGTGTGAAACGCTGGGAGGCTGGGCCCTGGGCCCGGTTGCTGGGCGACGCTCCCACTCATAAGGCGCCAAGGAGCAGAGAGCACTCAGCAATCCATCAGGCTGGACCACAGCAAACCACTTCAACACACTAAAGAACAAATCCACAAAAGACTAAGCGACCTCACTTGGAAAGGGCTTTCATTAAAGTTGATTTTCCTGAAGCAGCAGGGAGCAGGGCAAGAAGGAACGGCACTCAAGGCCTTGAAAAGCAAGCACAGCTCTTTAGGAGCCAAGGAAAGCCAGGCGCCCTGAATTCAGCAATGCAGGGGACCCCGTGGCCCTGCTCTGCCCCACGCTGCGGGCCAGCTCGGCACACGGGCCGGCCAGAGCCAGCACGCTGAGCCCCACGGCCGACGCTAGCTACAGCTCCCAGGTTCCACCCGGAGCGGGGTGAACAGAGCGGCCGTAAGCAAGAGCTGAAACGCAGAAGCCACATGCAAAGAAAGCCTACATGAAATATGGGAGAAACTGAACTCTATCCAACCCTCTTTTCGGGCCCTTGAAAGGCCCAGGGCACTTTTGCCAGGTTGCGATCATAAGAAGCAATTATCCGTTCCCTGCCTATTCCTTCACAGGATTCAGCTTCTTGTATTTATAAAAGTACTAAAAACACTTCAGGAATGTACCCATACACTCCCATGCATCCCTCTCTGGGCAGCAGGTGACCCAGTCCCCAGCATCAGATTGGGCCAGGCAGATCTGGGCTCTGTCCACGAGAGCCTCTCCAAGACGTGGCTGTGGCCTCCCTCCTTCTGGGAGAACGCTCGAGACCCCATCCCCACTATTGCCTCTCCTCCTGGATTCCTGGACCATGCACTGGTCCTTCCAGGGCTGGCAGTGACTGTCACATGAGCCATGTGTCATTCCAAGCCAGCCTCCTGCCATCCTGGGGCTGTTGCAACAGTCTCCATCTTGGTCTCCCTGCCTCCAGCCTCTCCCCTCCAAACCCATCCACCACAGAACCCCCGAGTCACCTTGCCAAAGCTTCCAACTTCAGAAGGTCGCTCCACGCTGGCCCTGCCTAGAGCGTGAGGTACAAAGGCCTTTACGTGGCTTGCAAGGCTCTGCATGAGCTTCCCCAAAGCTGCTCTTCAGGACACTGCTGCCCAGCTCTCCCTCCCACACCTCAGTCCCTCACCCCTGTTGAAACGAGCACCCGCCATTATCTGTCCCCTCCCAGATCAAATGCCACCTCCTTCTTGCCAGCACCCATAACATTCAGAACACAGAGATATGCCCAAGTCTGGGGCTCACGCCTGAGCCCTTTGCAGCACTGGAGTCCCCATTCCTTGAGGACACCCGTCCGAGCCTGAGGCGCCCAGAAGGACACATGGGTGCGCATGTGTCCATGCACCTGCTTGTCGGCCCACAGCCTGGACCACACGTGCGGCCTGGGGCTGATGCAGGAGTCCTACCTGCTACCTGCTCTCCAGCAGCTCCCAGTACTTTGCAGAGCCAGACAGGACAGCAGGCCAAGACAGAATTCATGGGCTGAGGGCTATGGTAGCGACATGCTCAAAAGGTTGTGGGTATCCAGGGGAAAGATGGATATGTTTTGCCCTGGGAGCTGGGGAGAGTTTTTTTTTTTTTTTTTTAGAAAGAGAGAGAAAGG